AAACGAGTCCCATGAATCAAGTGTCAAGAACGCTCTCCACGGGAAACAAGTACATGCAACGCCAAGCAACATCAGCAACACGCTGTTGAACAAAACACACGAAAACGCCCGCCTCGGAAGCGGGACACAGCAGAAAAAAAAGGAACAACCAAAATACCAAACATACCAAAGAACAACCAACCAATCCCACCTATCTCAAGGGCCCACTTCGCCCATTTCAGCGCCCTAGGCTGCCCAACGTCTCAGCGGCGCCTGACGAGTGAAACCTCCGTTTCACAGGTTAGCCCAAACACTCTCAGCTTTTGCTGCTTGGACAGTTGAGATCTTGAACATGGGGGAAAACTCAGCTAGGTGCTGGGGAAAAGCTGAGAATCAAATGAGTCTGGCAACCATATTTAGTGAACAAGTGTAAACTAAGTGTCAAAAGAGATCTCAACGATGTCAGGACCGGAGATAAGCCGAATAATTCGGGAACATGTGGGAAAACGATGAGTCTGATTGCACATAATTGACATATTCGAAGGCTTACTTGGGAATCTGTGACTTATTTATTACCAGCCAGACGTAGGGATTTCAAGCATTTTTATAATTCACCAAGCCCCAAAAGGGCGAGCAGCAGTTGGGTTGAATTGGAAAGCCGGTCCTCTTGCGATCAACAGATTAGAGGAACCCTACACTTTTCGCAAGCCCATGCATTTTGACAATAAGGCGATCTTCAACGGAGAACCCAACAGGCCATATGCCCTTCCAGCGAACATGGAACCACCTTATGTCAGTCGATCGAAAGCCCTAGCAATCTGGCGCACAGGCAATGTGTTTGATGGGCCCCTAAAGTTTCCCTACCACCTTCTTGTTTTTGCGGGGGGTCTAAAACAAGACACACGCAGACTTTAAGCCTCACGCCCATTTGGCATCTCAATTTGGGGCCTGTGGGAACCCAGGCGACGTGCATTGGTCCTTTCGATTGATCAAATCCCCCTACTCCAACTACCACCCAATTTGTTCAAAAGATTATTTTGTGGTTTGCCAGGGTAGATACCCCCTTTCGCAGTAAAGGGTCGACGTGATACGCTAAAAACAACTGGGTATTAGGTGTACGGGGTATCCCTTAAGATTTCCCAGCCACAAACACCAAAGCCGAAATATGGCGACTACCCTTTGATCTAAGAGGTGACCAGTGCTCTTTAGCTCGCGCAGCCGGCCCTCAAGCGATACCAGCGCAGCCCGCTTTCAAAAGCTATTGCGGCAAAATTGGCATTGCCCAACATATATCTTCGCAGCCAAAAACTCACTCCCCAAAAATTGCCAGGCCTCAAATTTCCCAAAACTTCTGCGCCCGAAATTGCCAGGCCCCAAGTCTCCAGCACAAACCGCTGCTTTCAAAAACCTCTGGTCCCAAATTGGCAAGCCTCAAGTCTCCACCCAAAATCTGTGCTTGAAAAAAAGCGCCACGTATTCGGTAGGCCCCAAGTATCCAGCGCAAATCTTTGTTGTCCAAAACTCATGCTCCCAAATTGCCAAGCCCCGAGTCTCCAATTTTCACACCCTCTGTTCCCAAACTGGCAGGCCCCAAGCCTCTGCTCAAAATATGCGTGTTGAAAGACTCCCGCTCGAAAAAAGTTGCTAAGCCCCAAGTCTCTAGCGCGCATCTTTGCTTTCCAAACCTCCTGTCCCCATAGTGTCCAAGCTCAAAGTCTCCAGTTCAAAGTCTAGCTGGAAAGCCTCTGCTTCCAAATTGGCAGGCCCCAAGTCTCTACGTAAAGTAAGTGCTGTGAACAACTCCTATAGTGTCCTTACTTTCCAAAAAACTCTGCCTGCAAATTACCTAGCCCCAAATCTCCAGCACAAAGACTTTGGTTTCCAAAAATCCTGCCCCAAAATGCTAGGCCTCAAGCCTCCAGCACAAATCCATAACCTCTGCCTCCAACTGCCAGGCCCCAAATGTCACCAAAATGATTTGCCTTCCAAAGGTCTCTTGCCGCCACCAAAACATGGTTGCCTTCCATAACTCCTGCTCCCAAAATTGCCAAGCCCCGCGATTCCAACACACACACATTCGCTGCCCAAAACGCATGCGCTGAATTTGCGAGGCCCCAAGTCTCCAACACAAGCGCTTGCCTTCCAAAACTGATGCTCCAAAAACTGCCGGGCCTCAAGTCTCCAGCACAAATGATAGCCTTCCAACAGCACTGCCTCCGAATCCCACAAAAATTGCCTTCCAAAACCCCTGCTCCCAAATTTGGCAGGCCTCAAGTTAGACCCCAAACTCTTTGCTTTCATAAACTCGTGCACCCCGATTGGCAGGCCCCAAGAGTCCAGCACAAATCTCCGCTGTCCGAATCTGATGCTCTAAGTTTGAGCCCAAAACCTCTTTTCCGAAACTCCTGCTTCAAATTGGCAGGCCCCAAGTGCCCAGCACAAATCTTTGCTCTCCAAAACTCTCGCTCAAAAAATTGCAAGGCCTGGAGTATCCAGCAAAATGTGTGGTTTCCAAAATTCCTGCTAAAAAATACCAAGCAGGACGAGTCCAGCGCAATATGCGCTCTTCAAAACTCAGGCCCCTAATTTGCCAGGCCTCAAGTCTCCAGTACAAACTATTACAGCCCCAAGTCTCCACCCAAAACATGTCTTTGAAAAAACTCTTGTTGCGAAATTGCAAGTTGACAGGTGTTGCAAAACATTTGCCCCCCCAAAAATGCAAGGCCTCATGTCTCAAGCTTTCCCGGCACATGTTTGTGCATCCCAAAACAGCTGAGCGGTGTGTGCGTGTTATTTCTGAACCATGTTTTGGTGAGACATTAAAGCGGCTTTCTTAGTTTAAATACTGCGCTGGTATGTGCTTTGAGTTATTTCTTCAAAGCAGGTTCTTCTGGGGCTTACTGCCATGACCAGCTTAACAATGTTCGATCACACACCCCAAACATGTCATTTCCAAAAGTTATCTCCTAACTTTAAAGCAACCTCGTTGTATCAGTGGTTGAAAACGCCCTCAAAAAGGCTATGTCTTGTCTTAATAAGGTTAGGTTACTAGTAGGTCAGGGTTGGGTAATAGAGCCGAGCTGTTTAGGTTATTTTGGTTCGAGAAATTAGTCAGAAAAGGGGATAGAACAGTATTGGCCCCTAATAAGCTACCCTGGTTATTAGGGAAGCGAACGGCAAAAATCAGAAACCCAAAAACAGTTCCCCCGCAAACCAAGACATGAATCATTGCAAGACAACAACTAAAGCTACACAGGACTTCGAAGCTAAAGATTGCCAAGCAGCAGCTAGCACACGCCCTCAACCTAAAAAGTCTAAAAATGCAAGCAACACCTCCTAATCCTTTTGGTTTAGTTTTGTTGGGGGGGCGCCTTACGAGTTCAAAATCGATTTTGAATTCGGAAGGTAGGGCTTGTGACTCGTGAGAGGGTTGTGTGGTGCACACATGCAGTTGGCTTTCGACCTAGGACCCCTGCCTTCCGGATTCAAAATTGATTTTGAATTCGCAAAGCGCCCTCCCAACAGGACCCTCGGCTCCGAGAGCGGCACGGGAAAGACAAATGACGTGGAAACAGAAAGCGCTGGTCCTTGGTGCCAGCGCCCGCTTTTGGAATCCTAACCGCGCAGCGCCCTCTTGGTCAACTTTTACTGCGATACATATATGGCGCGCCTTTAAGCAGGCCTGTCTACACAAGCTCTCTGATTATTTGCTACGCCCTACCCTTTCCTTCGGCCGCGGCTTGTGAGGACTCGCCTAATTCGCTATGTGCTTTTTGGTTTCTGGGCATTGTCGGCCATAAGGATTTGTTGCTGGAAGCCGCCAGGGCCGAAGAGATTTATCATCATAAAGCAAACCCTGCTTCGGCGTCACACCTGTTTCAAGATAGGCACCTGGGAAACAAAAAACAAAGGTCAGCCCGCTTTGCTCTCGGGTAATCTTGCGACAGTTGGGCGCGACCAGAACTTCTTTGTCAGGGGAGGGGGTGTGTGTTAGGAGCCCTTCATCCTAACCTGCGCTGGCAGGAGGTTGTCACAGGGCCTTCCTTCGCGCCTTTACGGCTACATTTCCCCGGCTTCCATGTTCTGAACCCCAGCGTCAGCGAGAGAATCCTCTCGGAAGGCCCCGACCCTTTTGATTTTTGACTCTCGCTCTTTGGGTACGCTGTAGCAAGAGCCCTACTAGCCATGCTACGGGGAGATGTGGCTGGAAAGGTGCGATTACGAAAAGTTAGGACGCAGAGCTCCTAAACCTTACCTGCGATATATGGCGCGCCTTTAAGCAGGCCTGTCTACACAAGCTCTCTGATTATTTGTTACGCCCTATCCTTTCCTTCGGCCGCGGCTTGTGAGGACTCGCCTAATTCGCTATGTGCTTTTTGGTTTCTGGGCATTGTCGGCCATAAGAATTTGTTGCTGGAAGCCGCCAGGGCCGAAGAGATTTATCATCATAAAGCAAACCCTGCTTCGGCGTCACACCTGTTTCAAGATAGGCACCTGGGAAACAAAAAACAAAGGTCAGCCCGCTTTGCTCTCGGGTAATCTTGCGACAGTTGGGCGCGACCAGAACTTCTTTGTCAGGGGAGGGGGGTGTGTTAGGAGCCCTTCATCCTAATCTGCGCTGGCAGGAGGTTGTCACAGGGCCTTCCTTCGCACCTTTACGGCTACATTTCCCCGGCTTCCATGTTCTGAACCCCAGCGTCAGCGAGAGAATCCTCTCGGAAGGCCCCGACCCTTTGATTTTTGACTCTCGCTCTTTGGGTACGCTGTAGCAAGAGCCCTACTAGCCATGCTACGGGGAGATGTGGCTGGAAAGGTGCGATTACGAAAAGTTAGGACGCAGAGCTCCTAAACCTTACCTGCGATATATGGCGCGCCTTTAAGCAGGCCTGTCTACACAAGCTCTCTGATTATTTGCTACGCCCTATCCTTTCCTTCGGCCGCGGCTTGAGGGCACACGCCTAATTCGCTATGTGCTTTTTGGTTTCTGGGCATTGTAGGCCATAAGAATTTGTTGCTGGAAGCCGCCAGGGCCGAAGAGATTTATCATCATAAAGCAAACCCTGCTTCGGCGTCACACCTGTTTCAAGATAGGCACCTGGGAAACGAAAAGCAAAGGTAGCCCGCTTTGCTCAGGTAATCTTGCGACAGTTAAGCGCGACCAGAACTTCTTTCTCAGGGGAGGGGGGTTGTTTTAGGAGCCCTTCGTCCTAATCTGCACACAAAGGCCCTCAGCTCCTGCGCACCTTTCCGGCTACATTTCCCCGTAGAATGCTTCCAGGTTCTGAACCCCAGCGTCAATGAGGGAATCCTCTCAGAAGGCCTTTTGAGTATTGATTTTCGCTCTTTTGGGCACGCTGTAGCAAGAGCACTGCTAGCCACTAGCGTACCACGGGGAGAAGTGGCCGGAAAGGTGGGATTAGGACACCCAAGCGCCGCAAACTGCCACAGGGCCGAATAAAGTCAAACCCTCAGGGACAAGGCTTTTGCTAGCACAAAGCCGCCGCAAAACACAAGATCCCCGTGCTCCCCCAAACAAAAAGAACAGCGCCTTGGCGGCGTACATGGCCCCTAACAAAACTAGAGGTCACTAGCCTCAAGTGCTGAACGGCCGCCGCCTGCTATGCCCTGACAAGTTTTTTTTCGGCTTTAGTTTCTCGGATATTCTTCTGGACAAAAGCCGTGGTTTTAGCTCCAATTTGCGTGTGTGTTTGCGTTTTTTTCACAGACGCTATTGGGTGCAGTTCCGACTCCTTGCTATAGAGGGCCTGCCATTGCGCTGGGGGAAGACGTTTAGGAGCCCTGCGTCCTAACAAGGGGTCGCTCAGCAATTCCTGTTGTTTTTTTCTCATCGCCCCCGCAGCCCCCTGTCGGAGCCTTGCATTTGGGAGACGAGTGGTTGTCAAAACCAAGCGCAGGCCAATACTAAGCCCCCCTTGGAAGGACCCAATTCCTTTTCATTCTGTCTTTGGCTCCATGGGATGCTCTTGGTTTTGATCAGACTTCTTGCCCGTTCTTCTCTCGGAAAGAGTTCTAGACAAAAGCCGTGGTTGTAAGCTCCGCGTTTATGTGTGTGTGTGTGTGTGTGCGCGTGCGTGCGTGCGTGCGTGCGTGCGCGCGTGTGTGTGTGTGTGTGTGTGTGTGTGTGTGTGTGTGTGTGTGTGTGTGTGTGTGTGTGTGTGTGTGTGTGTGTGTGTGTGTGTGTGTGTGTGTGTGTGTGTGTGTGTGTGTGTGTGTGTGTGTGTGTGTGTGTGTCTGTGTGTGTGTGTTTGCGATTTTTGCAGACTCTATTGGGCAAAAGGTCGCCTCAGCGAAAACAACTTTACAGCAATACTACAAACGCGCGCTCGCACTCGGGTGCACTTGTAGCATGTTGCAACAATGCACCAAACAATGCCCCAAGGGAACAACTGCAAATAACCAACTCCCTTGGAAATACTACAGGCGCTGTGTAAACTAATTCCACACTACACAGAACTCAAGTAGCTCTTTAGCTCCCTCTAGATAGAAGGGTAGGCGATGAAGCCTTCTTTGGGGTTTATCCTCAAGGTGTAGACTCCCGGGAAGTGTCAACTCACTCCCCAGATATGAGGGAGACTCCTGGAGCGTTTTGCTGGGGGTGTTGAGGTTCCGTGTATCGCCAAACCGTAGACTACGGTGCAGCTGTGTGCGACGTTCAGTTGTGCCTGGTGAGGCACCAGCGGAATTTGGGGGAGCCTTGCAGGGCCCCCACTTGGTAATACAAAGGATAGCTTCAGTGCCCTGCAGGTTTGGCTTGGGATGTATCAAACCTGACTACTGGCTGCACTTCGGCCTGTGTTCCCAGACCTCAAATTTGGGAAGTCGGGAAATTGGGGCCCAAGACCATTCGCGCTCAGTCGAGCGTCCCTTGATTTCAACGGGCTCCGAACTCGTGATACCCTCGGACGGACGAGCGGACGGGTCCCGTTTTGCGCCTCGATGTCCAGAAAGCTGCTGCACCGTCCGACGGGCAAGCTCGTCACCTGATCGCAAACATCCGCAAAGGGGATCTCACGAGATCTGGGTGGTCAAAATGAAACCCACCAGGATCTGGACCGCAGGGTGCAGTCCAAGCTTCCATTTACCAGGGCAAGCCATTTTGGGGTTACTCTATTTTTTTGACCACCACAGCCATTTCTTGCAGTCATCAGCGCCCCCGGGGTGGCTGCAATCTGCTTCGATGGCTTACCATGGTCAGGCCAATTAGCCTGATCGACCTGGACAGGTTGATGATTTGCTTGGATTGGTGGCTTGAAAGTTAGGTGCGGAAGCCGGGGACTTTGTTACCTGCATGTACCTCCTACAAGCCTGGTTCTCACGTTTTTTTCTGGAATCCAAGAGCAACGTGATCATTGAAGATAGGACCTAATACTTTCATTTCTTTTCACTTGCACAAGGCAACTGGAAAGAAGGCTGCCCTTCTGGAAGATGCTTTGCTGAAAAACTGGTGGCAATCGTTGCGAATGGTTGTCGAAACATCTTAAGTCTCACCTACTGACAATCACGGCCCGTGCAAACCATTAGGATTGTTGCTCTTGCAAGGTCACGTGATTTTTCAGGTCCCATCCGGAAAAAACATTGGAGAGCCCTTCTGGCTGGAACCGTCCCTTACGAATCTTCTTCACCAGTTGAGGTTCATGGTTCCCACTGGGAATGTTTTACAACACTCGTCGGAATCCCTTAAAACGCTTCCAAAGATTCGAGTTCGTCCCCTAAAATGGGCGGATTTGCCACTGGAAAGCCAATCTATCTTTCACCTAATCCCAGCCCAACCGGTGCGAAGCGGATGGAATCCGTCCAGTACAAAAAATATGCCTGTGCAGACAACCAAGCACCTGGGACACCAAAGGAAAGCCAACGGAAACCAAAGAACACCGAAGTATGGCGCTGTCCATTTTGGATGAAGGGAAACCCAAAAGGAAACCACCTAGGCTGCCCAAACATCGCCTCGAGGCCCATCCTGCGGGGCGCGGAGAAGGGTGCCTGGCCAAATTGCACGCCCAGTGGATCTTTGGGAACCCAGCGTACAAACAGGTTGAGCGAGGAACCCACCAAATGTCTTTAAAAGTGGCGAACCCACCAAAGGTATTCGCTTTAACTGAGCAACTCGGTTCATGTGGAGGGGGGGGTTCAAATAGGATCCATATTCAATCCCTCAACACCGACTGATGAGGGGGGGTCAAACAAGTTGTGACATGTGGGATCGAAACTGGGGGTTGGCCTAGGCAAAAATGGGTTTCAAAGGCGGTTCGCTCGCCACTCATGCGGAAGCAAATCCAGCCCTATTCTTGGTTGACGTTGGAAGGGGAGCAACAACTATCAAATTTTAGCCGCCAAGTGGGGAAGGATTTCAACCACTAAATTCCACAATAATATTAAAAATTGCAAACAAATGCTTCCCAACAATATGTTAGCTTCCTTTCGTAAGTGTCGGAAAAAATAGGTTCGACCTATTTTACCATTTTTTCCCCAACCACAATAGGAACCAACCATGAATTTCAGCTTCCTTTTATGATAATTTGGAATTTGGAGCCCGCCGGTTCGGAGGCGGGGCTTCGGTTTCCCATGTCTTTCCTCAAGAACCAGGGTTCAAATTTCCAAATCGAAGCAGTTCAATCCAAGCCACCAATTGGGGGGAACCTAACTCAAGGCTTTTCCAGGAGTTTTCCACTTGCCGTAACCTGGTTGCCTAAAGTTGGGGATCAAAAGACCCCATGGCAGTGTTGTTCCTCCATTTGCTCAAGGCCCCTGGAAAATAATTAAGAAACACAAAAACAACAAAAATATGTCCAGAGGTGATAGCTTCCCTCTAAACCCAACAGGTAAACAAAAAAAAAGAGTATTCTTAAGCAAATGGAAGCGGTCGTTTCCCTTGAGACCCCAAAACGGGTACCCCATCCCCTGAATCTAAAAAAACGCTCGCGCGCGAGCCGCTTGCTGCAGCAGCTCCAGGTCGAAGCGGCCCATGGCGCGTCGGTTGAGTTTGATTTTTGATTTGGGTGTGGGTCAAAATGAAACCACCCGGATCTGGACCGCAGGTTGCAGTCCATGATTCCATTTACCAGGGCAAGCCATTTTGGGGTTACTCTATTTTTGATGACCACAGCCATTTGGGGGAGTCTGAGGAACAGTTGGGGAGACAACTCGACACAAACAACCGATGATTAACAAAAAGAAGCTCGGAAACAAAACATTAATCAAAAAGCTTCTTTTCCCCCAACAGCCCATCAAAAAGCTCGGAACAAAAGAAACAAAACTTAGTTTTTTCCCCAACAGCCTTTGCAGCTTTGGGGTCGATAGGCCCACAGAAGCTCGGGGGTGAAAGGGCTGCCTTCAGCGAGTGCCGAAGGGAGATTCGGTTCCAGAGGGTTTCGGGGCTGTTGGGGATATCGCCTTCTTGTAAAACGTTTGATGTAATGCCCTAACGCCCATGGGTCTGCGAAGCATCTCTCGGTTGGAACATGCAAGAAGCCATGGGTCAGGGAAAGCATCTGGAAGGGAGAACCGCTCGACTTGGTTGACGTTGAACAACTCAAGTAGGAAAGTCTCAGGTGGTCATACCTCAGGAACCTCGTAATGACGCAGGTGCCACCAAAAAAACGTTGTTTTCAGAAAAACTCGGGGTTTCTGCTAGAACCCGGCTTATGGCTTGCCTGGGATAATGAGGGCAGGATGCCCAGCGTGGTGTGCACCCTGGGTGTGTTTGCCCACACGCTGTTCTGGAAAGAACCCCACGACTCGCAGCATGGTGTCAAGAGTGCGTTCGTGTCGCGTCAAACACGAGATCGTTGCGGGGCTGACTGATCCCGGAACTGACCGGCAGGCGGGCGACCGATTCTGGTAGGGACTCACAGACTTGCAATTGCGCTTCTTCTTGCCGCTTGGGGCTGTCTTTTGTTAGGGAACCTTCAAAATTGTGTTTTTCCTGTTGGCTTCCCTCTCTATCCACCAAAAAGGATCAAGGGAAACCACAAAGGAACACAGAACACACTATTTTGAAGGTTCCCTAATAAAAGACACCCTAGCATCAATACGAATATCACGGAACCAGGGCTTTTGGATGGATGCGCCCAGTGCTTTTGGCTTTAGGGGGACATCAACTAGTCACTTTAACTCCCCTTCCCCCCTCCCAACTCGTCCTCTCGAGGCCTTTGGTTGGTCGATTTGTTTGTTGGCTCTAGCCAATTGGAAAGCAAGAGCAACACCGGTGGAGCTTAACCAAGGAGCCTAAAGGTCTTTGTTGGCTTCAATGGCAACCCTTGGCATGTGTTAACCCCTTGCGGTTCAAGTTGGAATCTTCCAACTTGGGGGGGAACACCTCACGAAACCGGGCAAATGGTTGACTTTTTTCTGACAGCAATCTGAACATAGCAAAGTGGTGAGTCAGATAATCGATGACTGAGCTCGCATTGATTGTTTGCTAAAAGGGGACCTTTGGCTAGTTGAAGGGGATCTCCTTTGGCGTTCTTAAACACCTCCAACGCTGTCACACATGGGTGTCTCTTTTTAAAGCTTGGACGCCCCCAAAATGGGTGTGTGCTTCCTTTTGGTTCCCCTTGAAAACCACTGAACAAAGACACACATAGGTAAATGCTGGAAATTCCAACTGCAACCAGCGCCATCGATGGTAAACCAAACAGACCTAGCAAGTACACCTATAAACTATAGACATGAACCTATAAACTATAGACATGAGTATGCTCCAGCTCAATGTTCTTCCTATTGCCGCAAAGGCACATGATATCCGACGTCAAGCTCAGCTTTACCAATGCTTGAAGTTCGAATTGGCTCTCACAACGGCCTCAAAAAATTCTATTAGCTCTAAATTGGTGGCTTGTGGTTTCCCAGCTTTTCAGGGAAGTGGTCATGCTGTTCTTAGATTAGCGCTTTTGATAATTGTCCTTTTGGCTCTTTATCTTCCTTACATGGGTCTCCCATGAGTTCCTTTTGGCTCTTTCGGCAAGCGAGCCCTCTCCAAACTCAAAAGGTGCAGACCCTATTTCACCTGAATGCATGTCCTTGAGCCATTTTTTTTCTGGGGCTCCCTCATGTACTGTTGATGCCCTCTTCTTGCGATTTTATTGGGGACATCAAAAGAAACCCACCATTTTGGGGGGTCCCCTATCTCAAAGGGATTTCCTCATGTAAGTCCCTGGGATCCAACTTGACCCCTCGCCCAGCCGACTCCCGACTCCTGGCTTTCGCCTTCGAAGATCTCAGGCCTTGGGTCACCCATCAACCAAGGAACGCGAACAAAGGGGCCGCACTTGCGGAGCATTCCTGAGATTGGTACCAAAGAAGAACCATAAGTCGTTTACCTTTAACCAACACCAGACGTGCGCGCAGACTAGCGCTGTGGGCGAGGAAGGTGCTTGCTGGATGTTCTGCCTAGTAGGGCATATGGGGCTGCCAGAACGCGCACATAGAGGACACTGGACTGGACAGAAAGGTGGCAAGGCGTGGCTCTCTCAATAACTGTTCCCTTGACGTTGAGGACGCTAAGGGTTTATTTTGGAGCAACAAAATTTCGGTCTCCCATTAGTTGGTGGTTTGGTGATTGAGTGGAAGTGGTTTTCCAATTTACCCTCTACAATAAGCAAGGGTTGGTTTGGTTTGGTGGTTTTGACAAATTCGGGGGCTCCTTCCTTATTCGGTTTCAAAATACACTGGGGTTCACAAATCCCCAAACCACCAATTTGGGGTTGCCTGAACCTCGTGCTGTTTTTGCGGCTTTTGGGGGGCAAACACCACTCCAAGTGTCACTCCAAATCGAAATCCAGACGTCCAACCCAGGGCCTCCTTGTACTTTTTCAGAGGACTCTGAGGAATTCCCGCCCAGTTTGAAGACAGCCATCTAAATGTCTTCAAGCTATGTTAAAACTCGTTGGGCGATGGCTCTAAGGCTCCCCTGATGGCTCAGCCGTGCGTGAGACTGTGATAAACTTGGCCGCTGTTGACCCGTCTGCAGAAAGCATAACTTTTAGCGGGTCGAATGGAAAATCCACTGTTTCCCAAAAAGCTAAAGTCCAATGCAACCAAATAGCCATAAAGTAAAGTGAATCCCCATCCCTGCGATAAAGTCTCACGTGACAGTCCTTTGGTACCCAACATGCCCCTGATCCCCACGTTTCACTACGGCAAAAGCTATCTAAACGTTTTTGCTAGAGGGGGAGGGAAAAACTCAAAGAAAGCGATCGGTCAACCCAAAGGGAAAACAAGCCGATTTTTTGGCTGGAAGAGCTAAACCCAAGACTTGCCCGGATGGTTTTGGCTGTGTGGCTCAAGGACTCGGGGATCTAAGTGGGTGTCTGTTTTTGAGGGTACCCCTTCGTGGTTTGAAAGGGAAGCCAAAAGGAATACAGCTGCGCCATGTTGAGGGGTTCACTGAAACCCAATGAGTTCCAGAGATTGAGATTCTGGACGAACTAAAGCGAAACTCAGCTTCCCCCTGGTTGGTGGTTTGGTGGTTTGGTGGCTTGGTCGTTAAGGGGGGTTGCCCACTTACCTTCTACAAGAACCAAGGGTTCAAATCCCCAAACCACCAATTAAGGGTTAGCTAAGAAACTTGAGCTGCGCCGCCCCAACAGTAACCCTAGAAACAGTTGCTTCAGGCGCCCCAACGAACCCTAGCTCAGTTGCCTAACACCTGAAAGGGGCCGCTAAGAATAGGAACCCAAAAGGGGGACACGAAAAGGTCAGCTCTCCAGTCGATTTGCTTCGAGGCGGTTCGGGAGTCAGCCCATCCGAGGTCCGTCGTGCCGTGGGATGCTGACGGATTCGGCGCATAGGGAACCCTGGGTTCTCCAAAAAGGAAGTCCATATGGTCCATATGTCTGCTCAAAAAACCGGCGCCAAAATGGAACCCTGGTAAGTGGTCCTGTTTAATTTTGAGCCACACCCATATCGCGCCAAACCGCTTGGGTCCTCCATGTCGACTTTTTGTGGCCACACTCCAGCAGGAGCGATCCACCTCTCTTCTGGGGCGCTCGAGCGGACAGGCCCCGATGGTCAACCCAGGTTAATGATGGTTGCGGTTGTGGACCATCACCTTTGTGGTTTCAACATGAACCACAGGGAAACAGGAGATTTGTCTCTGCAAGGGGGGTCATGCATGGGGTTGGTGTTCTGACCAAAGGCTTGACTTACGAAGGTTGCACATCCACCTTGACGCGCAAGTGCCTTCGACAGCACAGATTTTGGCCTCCCCTTGACGCCTCCTTCAAGCAGCACTGGCTGCCCCACTTGAGGATAGGCCTCCCCTACTCACTCCAAGTGAAGCAGGCAGGCGGCCAGCAAGCACTCTTAGCTCATCGTCTTGCTGTCATCCGCGGCACCCGAAGAAACGTGCACGGGTTGGCCCCAACCGCCCTGCAAGAACGACCTACCCCTCTGCACCGTCGCCCCGTCTTGGGCGGCCGACTCAGTCGGCTCGGCACCAGCAAGGGGGCGCACTGGTGGCAGGGAAGGCTTGCGTCTTGCCCTGTGCTGCTGCCCCACACCAGGCCAGCGGTGTGCAGAGAGTACCCTCCAAATATTCGGGCGCTAGGGCTCTCTGTGGGTAGGGCCCAGGCAGAAACCGCATTCACAACCTCCGATGTTGAAAAACCTCTTCACAACGAAGCGAAACCGAAGCAGGCAGGCAGAGTTGGATCTCAAATGGGACTACAAAGAACAACCAGGGCACAGGTCCTAAGTCTCGGGCCCAAGGCGCAAACAGCAGCTTACCGCGGGAGACTTTTCTTCAAGGCTGACAAGCACAAGGCCTACGTAAAACAGGGTTCTTGCCCCAAATTATTGGGTGAATTCCCATATGGCCATGGTTTCCACTCGCACCAGACCACCACCCTCAAGGAAAACATGGGGTATACAACCACTATATAATCACTACTATGCAAAGGGCATACACCAGGATTTCCCTTGCAGGAAGTGGTTGGGTGGTAGTGTCCTGTTCAAATACACCACCTAACGACTGGATCCGATCCAGCAATAATTATGTCACCGCAATCTGGTTAGGTTTTAAAATAGCAGTCTGGCCAGGTCCCAAATCAGCAAAGCATTTATTTGCAAGCCAGGCTCTATGACAGCTATTCTCTGAGATACAGTCATCCCAAGAGGGTTGCTCCGTGGCACCTGCAGGAAGCCCAAACCAAGCGTCATGAGATCAAACTCACCCAACATGCTGGCCCACCCCGATATGGCATCATTTTGCGCACAGGGATCTTGACTTTTCAGACACCTCCGGCAATATGAACCCTGGATTCGTTCATAATTGTGATGCGTGTTCAATGATTGGGGGGGGTTATCTTCAAAACATATGACTTGTTGCTACGTACTAAACGCGGGTGAATGAATCCAAGATTCACATTACAAAAAGGATTGTGACCCACACATCAAGGCACAGCATCATGGCGTGCGCAACATGTGGATCAATCGGAGTTGCCGTGTGAAAACCGTGCGGTAAACATCTGGCCTGGCCCAGCTCTGCATGCCGGTACCTCCAATCTACGCACAAGTTTCGGAAACAGATCATTTGCATTCAACATGACAAACGCAAACAAACACATACAGACACATACACACACTCAAGCATTCTGAACTAGTCACTCAAATATCCAGTGGTATCTGGAATGCTCAGAACCTCCGCGTGGCTTGCGAGTCTCTTCTTCAATCCGCGACGGAGCACTGGCTTGTTGCGACAGCCTTTGCTCAAGATGGACGGAGGTTCCATGAACGCCGCCACCGGAAGATCTGGCCTGGGTTGCTGAAAGCGTAAAATAGAGGTCGCGATCACCTTTGGTGGTTTGTAACGAACATGTCGTATTAAATTAGTTTCCCCCTGAATCTTTTAAAAGGTCGATCACCTTTTCAAGTGGTTTGCAACGGGAAACAAAAGCCATATGTTTCCCTAAGGCTTCAAGAGGCGATTTGGGTCACAAACCCGAAACCAGCCACGCGACTTGAAGCTGATCTTCAGCACCAGCATGGGCTCGAGCTTCCATTCGAAGTGGCTCAGTTTCGCAGGTGCGTCGATGAGAATCACGTCGCTGCCCAGGGCCAGCTCCCTGGCCTGCACTGTCGTCTTGCCTTGATGGAATCCCATCCGGGGAGTAGGTACGAGGGTACGTTCCGTGGCTTAGGGTTTTGTAGGCTTCCTTAGGGTTCCTGAGGAAGCCTCAGCTGGAACCTTTATTTTTGGACCACCCCCGAGGGATTCCATAATTGATTCGTGTCATGGATCTGGGCAAAGTAGAATTAATCACCAATCAATAAGTAGGTATAAGGGATCCCGACTGTGGATGGACGAAATCTTTCTTCGCACCACCTAAGAAACCATGGTTGAACCCATAGCGTGCATTGGTATTTGCAGGGGAAACGAGCCATGAGAGCACTTCAGAACAGGTATGAAAGGAACCTTCATGGGTGGAATTCCTCACAGGTATGGTAGGTTGAAGCAACCAGCGCAGTTGCCAGCTCCGCACGAAGAAAGTGGATCAAACCACATGTTCACACACGGTTGCTATGCTCATATACGGATATGGGTAAGTGTCAAATCGTGGGACCCCCATGAATGGTGGTGTTTTCCTTTTGGTTTCCCTTCAAACCAAACCTTAGCAAGGGTACCCTAAACCTTCGGAAGTCTAAGGAACAGTATGCCTGGGGCTTCCGCCAGGGTGCCCGGGACGAGGATGCGATGATCCGGGCTGACCACCAAAAAAGCCATGCCCGCACCCAGCTCCACCACGGCTCGGGCTTCCTCAGTGGCCAAGGGGAGAAACAAACAAACACAACACAACCCAGTTTGTCTGTTGGTTTTAAAGGAACACCCTTCCCCGCCCCCCCCCCCCCTTCCCCCCCCAAAACAAAAAGGGGGAAACACACAAACATTTTGCGAGTTGGTTTTGAAGGAAAAACCCTTCCAATCCTTCCCCCCCACCAAAAAAAAAGAGAGAACAACCTGAAAAAGGGCACCACTGGGCAACTGAGCTTCATGCTGCTCTGGTGGGTGTAAGACCTGCATCACCTCACCGTTGGCAGCACGCACCGCCTCGCCCTGAACCAGCCTCCTGGCCAACTTGGGCACGTCCCCGTCTTCAGTCACCACCTTGAGGTAAGTCTCAGGAAGGAAGCAGCACCTGGAAGAGCCCACATGAGTCCAGGAACTGAAAGTGCATATGGAAGAGGAATCGCCGGTTCCGGCACCATCACTGGCAAACATGGCCTGCATCATGTGTTTTAGATCATCCAGCTTGTGCTGCATCACAGATGTCTCCTGACCATTGACCACCGCAAAGTTGCCGTGAGCCTGCTTCAGTTCCCTCTTCAACTCCTCGCACACCCGAACGAGCTCGCCCGGCTGCTGCCGCAGCTCGTTCAATTCTTCATGAAGCAAATCCTGAAGCACCCTGATCTCCTGCGTGCTCTCTGGAGTCTTTTGTCCTGAATTGCATGTCCAAAAGTAGATCAACAGGGCCACATGCACTGCCACCGTCTTTAGGTCAGGCCACATGGTCCCTAAGGGCACTGACTTCGGACAATCCGGCTCAGGACACGTCAGCTTTGGACAGGCCGGCTCAGGACACGTCAGCTTTGGACAGGCCGGCTCAGGACACGTCAGCTTTGGACACTCAGAACACTGGCGGGCCTCGGCCTCAGCTAGTATTGTCTTCATTCGCACTTTGCGTGCTTCCATAACAAATCGCTGGTTCTTGCCATCATTGCATCTCTGCAAGCTCAACCCGGAGCGCCCTGGGTGCCAATCTACGCAACTGTTGGGGTGGTTTTGCGTGTTTGTCGTCGTCAATTGCTGTGATGGAGTCAACGTCCATTTCAGATCAACATCTCTGTCACCACCGAACCAGAGATCGCAATCCGCCACTGTGACAGAACCGCTGATGGCCGCCAAGCACTGTCCAGTCGCCAAACTCACAATGGTGCCACCCCGTCTGACCCACAGTTGGTTTGTCTGCTCGTCATGACTTCGTGACTGCAACATAGCCATTCCGGCACTCTACGCATACCTTGTCGTCCATCTGAATCTCCAATGAAACTATGGCACCATCCAAAGGTCCGGTGGACAGAACACCAGTGAAAAGTGACAAGACCAGCACCAACGCGACACGAACAACCATTCTGCCACGTGTCAATCAGCGCCTTTGGCTGGTCGCAGGTTGCTTCAGGTGGCTGCGTCAAAGTCCCGTACAGTGAACATCCCAATCCCCACTAAAACAGGTTCTAAAATGGGTGGTGAATTCACCGAAAACCCCAAAATCGGATCCAAACCGGTTTTGACCACCACAGCCATATTTCTGCGCAGTCTGAGGGTCCTGGTAGAGTAGAGGTCCCAGCCCACCCCCAGGTCCGGCGCGCGGCTTTGGCTTTGGCGGCTTTGGCGCCGGTCCCATGGGTGACGGATCAGAGTCCGCCAACCATCAGCCAAGCGTTTTTCGCCTGACCCAAACAACTTGGCTAGGTCCTCCAGATTTGAGAGGTTAGAACAAGGGCGGATCTCTGTAGTCTATTTTGGTAGATACCCTCCCCCAAAAAAGGGTGAAAGGGCACTGGAAAAGCTAGTTACGGTAAAGTGTTCTAAACCCACCCAGAAATCCAGACAGCTGTTGCAAAGAGACGCCCACCGGCCAGCGACTCGGTACTCCTGGAAACCGGTTTCCTTGGCCTCGAAAAATTTCTCTCAGAAGTCGGCGCCTGACCCACCCGGACCCCCCAAGCGGCCATCCGTTTGGCTTCCCTTTGAAACCAGCCAAAAGCGGGCACCAACTCCCAAAAAACAGCACGCCCAAAGAAATGGGACACCCCCCGCAAAGAAAAACAAAACAAGAAAAAGGCCTCTGAACTCTGGCCCCTGCGCCCAGTAGTGCGGCGTGCCGCAGGTGGTCTGCAGGGCTCGTTCGGCCTGGACCTGATCAGTGTCCTATTTGGTGGTTTGGAGCCCGGTGGTTTGGTGGTTTTCAGGAGGGGTCTCCCATTACACCTCTATAAGAATCAGGGTTCGAATCTCCAACCATTAATCCAAACCACCAATTGAGGGTTACCTGACCTCGGGATTGCACCCCCCCCCCTTGTCCGCCTACAAAGCCGAAATCCCACTGGCTCTGTCAGTCTTTAGGGACCCAAAAGTAACCAAACTTTTTGTTTACCACTAAAATGGTTCTTAGTCCAGTCCATGAGCTCAGAAAGTGGGAAGGTGACACACACAGGTTGCAAAGGAAACACTGCGAAACACTCGTGAAACAAAGATTGACAAGGCACCACCAAAGGTAAACAAATGGATAGCCGACGAAGGCGAGCCAAACATAAAAGAAAGATTGGGGATCCCAGCCCGTATCGTAGGTAAGCCATTTGGCCCGCAGACAAATGGATCTGCTGGGTTGAAGGAAGGGAAAACGCATATTGAACACTCAGGGCAGAAGGGAATCAATGGTAGAAACAGGGCAGGGGCCTTTTGTTTTTTTTGGTTGGGCATATGGTGCCAAACCCCACTTGCCTGCCTCGGTGTGGGGCAGAATGATCCAGCGAACCGTTCACAACCCAGTGGCCGTTTTTCCGCCTTCATAGCCCAGTCGCAACCCGCCCCAAACGCGTGTGCTGACGGGCTCTCACTGGCTGAGTGGAAGGCCCACAAAAGTCCAAACTTTATATTTACCACTAAAATGGTGTTCCCAAAAAGTTTAAAGTTCAAGAACTCAGTGAGGGTGAAGTTCACATTCTTTAGCCCGAACATTTGCTCGGGGACAAGGCGGCGTAATGCGTCCTGCCCGCCTCAGCGCTCCAGCCGAAGTCGCAGATCCGCACCTGGATCGCTGTTCGCGGTAGGGGATCCTCTGGTGGACATCATTTCGGGGATTCAGGTAACCACCAACCACTCTTGAAAGTGGCTCCGTAGGCCCGGTTGAGTGCAATGCAACAGAACAAGAACGTCAGTTGCTCACACCTCAGATTCCCGCAAACATATTCTGGTTGTGGGAGAGTTGCCCCTTTCTGTGAAGACATCGGACTATTCCCGAGCCGCTGGCAGCGGGAGATAGGTCCCAAACACAGACGAATTTGGAAGGGGCGGCAGTTTCAGAAATGTCTGTTTAGTGGGATGGGCAACCATTCATCATGGGTTACTGAGGGAAGCCTCCAAAACACATTCTTTAGTCCAGCAGCTTTTGCACCGGAGCTGGTCAAGGCTTCAGGATGTTTTTTGGGGGACATTTGGAGCCGAACATGTTCAGCACGTTTTTTGAGGATAGTCAACCCTGCATGGGGTTAGAAGACTTGAGATGTTTTGGAGATGACCCACTGTCCGTCTCCACACTTCTTTCCCGGACCAGCGCCGCGGATCCCGTTGGCTTTCTGTCGATTGAAGCAGGTGATTTGCCATGGCTTTCATGATTCGGTCCCTGAAAGCGCCAAGCCAACCTGCCAAATGAACCAATGACACAGTGCCATGCCCCGATCCGAGCTGTTTGAAGTCTAGCTGCCCAAGTTTGCACCATCGTCTTCCCAAAAGGAACCCCGAGTCCAAACAATACCCAAGCCACGGCCAATCGTAATTCTCCCCATTGACGTGCAACTTTAGTGAGTAACCTCCCTTTCCGTGTGGTGAGTGTGCCGCAGATGCCATCCCCTTACTGCCGTAGATGAAAGTAAATTTTGACCGTCAGGGGTGTGGGAAATGGCCACTTCTGTGATACAACGGAAAGGGCTTCCCAAAGACTAAGCCCATATAGAAAGTGGGAGATTCCCTTGTATCACAGAAGTGGGGATAAACCCCTTGATCCCACAACCCGGTTGACCGTTGACGGGGACAAAACCACCAACGCCCCACGGCCGCAATCCCCCCACGGCGAGTAAACGAAACGGTTTTCTTTTCCGTGCGAGCCGTCGACGAGTCGAGCTGGCGGAACATTGCAAAGGGCAAAGGGTTGGGCAGCCTGAATTGTGGGGTTGAGGAACTATTAAACCAAATCAATTTCAGTTGTTCTTGTACTTCTTTAGGCCCGTTTAGCGAGGGAATATCACATCCGCACTGTTTCAATGTTCTTCCCTAGATCGCAGTGGTTCCTTGCCAAATCCCACAACTACACTGCCACCATGTCCCTTTCAACCCAAAAACAAATCAACCACATTTCTGTCTCCAGTCCTTTTGCGCGTCGTGACTCTGCCCTTTGCGCGCTGGCGAGCGAGCACTTGGCGCAACACTCGGAGTCTATGCAAGGCGAAGCGCACCGAGCCACAGGAAGCCCCTGAGAAAGTGAGCGAGCCGTTTCCTGCTCGAATGGCAAAAAAGAAGGAAACCAAAAAATAAAACGCACGACAATACAAAGGGATCAAGACTTGATCTGGCAACAGATCACAGGCTTGCAACGCGTGTGATGTTCACGTCATGGAGCGTTTCCACAACGAGAAGCGGGACGCCCTCGGAAGTTCTCACAGATTTGTCAGTGTTCAGCGTATGTTGCAGCGGATCTCCTAAGAATGACAATGGCCAACACGACTTGGCGTGAACTATCTGCGACTTTCCTTTTTAGACAGACATTTGCTCGAACTACTGTGGACCGTGATCTTGGCTTTCTGGAAACAGGTGCTTCAAACACTATGATAGTCTTTGATGCCAAAACATGAGAACGTTCTTCTAGGTTTTCCTCTACTCAGCAACCAAAAGAGGTTCCCCCACAATTTGACATGGCGAAGCGAATCATTTAGGTTTGAACGAGGGAAGTCCCAAACAGCACTTGGCACTCTCAAGATGGGGGAACCCTTTAAAATGGTTTCCGGCCAAGCAAATTTCAAAAGGGTGCGTTTGAAAACACACACACATGGCGGAATTGACTGGGCAAAGGATTGACGAGAATATTGTCAGTCCCACGGCCAATGATTTTCCGGGAATTCCTACCACCCGATTTACACTTGAGGCGCCTACAACTCTTAAACGGTAAACGTGTCTACCAAGTGACCCTCTTTGTTGTGGTGTCGACTCACTTTTCGGGAAGGAGGTCAGCTGAATTTCAACAGGTCACTTGAGCGAGATTAAGGCCATTTTGGCTACAGAAGCGCCACTTAGAAACAAGTGGTTCCTGGCTACCTGGAGGAGTGTACATTTGAGCCCTATCTAAGTAAACTGGACACAGTTGATGACCAGCAGCGACTCTCGAATGACACTCAACTGAGGCGGTCGGCACTGCTGTAGGAGGCCTCTTCGTAGCCTAAGTGGCCTCGATTCGCCTTCAAATGAAACTATAAGCTCGCTTGAGAATGAAGTTTTGCACGCTCCTCCAGGGAAAAAGAGGCCATTTTCGAACAGCACAAAAGAAGCCACTTGCGACCCCGACGCTTCTTTTTAAGTGACCTTGATTCACTTGTTTGGTCCAAGTGGCCGCCATTTGTCACTAAAAAGAAGCTGGGATAGCAAGCGTCGCATTTTCGCCGCCACCAAGTACCATACTCGTCTCAAAGTGAATCTGCTGGCTCGGTGCTTGCCAGTCACGCGCGCAACTTTTGCCTGGAGCCAGTTGCAGCATAAGGTATGACCATGCTCGTGCGGGCTCTCTCCCGTGCACTGAAGCAGATGTCTGCTCTTTAAAATAAGGCAACTTGGATGGTTCAGCGTCTCGATTTGTCCAGTTGCCAGCTTTCAGAGAAACAAATCAGATTTGTTAGAGCTACCATCTACAAGTCTCTTAAGACCTGTGAGCCGTCTCAGCCACAAGTCCGCTGTGGCCACCCGCTGTGGGGCCCCTGAGTTTAATCACAGGCAACCCCTGTGATTTTCCTCACCGAATTTGACTTGAACTGATTTTAATGTTAATGTACCAACCCCAAATGGTAACTTTTACACACTAGGTCCTCCAGTAGAAAGCTTAGAACAAGGGTACCTTTTTTTCTGTAGCACATTTTTAGTAGGGGAACCCTCCTTCAATAAAGGGTAAAAGGGCACTCCTGGGGGACCTAGCACACTTTGGACCAGGGTCTCATGTTTCCTTCCATCTTTGGACCTTGCGGCCCCCTGGTACCCCTTTTGGAAACCAGGAAAAAAAACCGCCACCTGGGGTTCCCCAACAAAAAGGCACACGCATTGTCGACCAGATCTTCCGGAAAAGCAAAGGCCAAACAACACCACAAGCTGAAATTGTGGGCGCCATGAGACTTACAAGAAGTCTGGATGTTGGAACGTCGACATCTCAATGGGTTCCGGTGCTGGCTCAAAGAAACCGAAAGCTGAATATGCAAAGGGACGCAGGGGTGGCTTCGTCTCAAACTAGGGACCCCTCAAATTGGTGGCTTTCCTTTTGGTGTCCTTCTAAAACCACCGAAACCGGGTCCCCTCCAAACAGACAGCCCTGTATAAGAAGGAATGTCCTGTTTCGGGGTTGAAGGGAACCAAGCCAATGTGAAGGAACCTTTCCGTGCAGAGGGTATAACATCACTACAAGCTACACTAGACTTGTCGCCTTAGAATCTTATACTGGCATCTAAGCCTCAAAAACCCAACACAATATCGGCTCAAGAGCTACAAAGACCTTGCTATGAACATGGCTGTTTTATGTGTTTTGAATTCCGCCGGAATAGATCTCCAAACCTCCTACCTGTTGGTAGGCTAGCATCTACTTGCTGCTCCCCTACGGAAAAAGAAAAAGAAAAAAAAACACCAATGCAAACGTCACAGGCGGAAGGTCTGGCAACTGGTCGGCGCTTTGCACCATCTATTTGGAATTGGTTTCCGGTGCTTGCTCAGTGTCGTTGGTAGCTTCAGCCTGCATGTAAGCAGCCTGCTCATGCAGGGCCGCCCAATTGCGCCTAGATTCCCTCCGTTGGGAAGTCCTTTGCAAACTTGCTCGGAAGAGACCAAAGGGCCAAAGGAAACCCACCATGGAGCAACTTCCGAGAAGGGTCATAAATTGGCAGACACCTATTGGCATATTTCCAACGGGAAGGTGGTTGGACCGAAAGCGCTTCCTATAGTTCTCCGGATTCAGACACGTGGCAGAAAACGCAAGGAAACGACTGGGAGGCCCCTTTTGGGTAGGTAGGATGGTTGCAAAACCCCGACAAGCCAAAAGGTTCCCCAGACACACACAGATGTGGTGAGCAAAAGGGAAACCAAAGAGAAGCCTCAAGGAGGTTCCGCAAGGTAGGTCCCGCACCCCCACGACGAAATGGTGGTGAAGCCTTCAGTTTCATGGGACGCAGCGCTTAACGCTTTTTGGACAGATCATTTCAACTGGGCCGCCTCAATGTGCCTTTTTGGACCTCGAGTGCCAGTTTCGGGGTTCCGAGACTTCAACCACAGCATCCAGACTGTTGAAAGGGATACTTTCCGTACAGAAATCTGCCCTCGAGGGAGAACAACCTGGGTATCAATGAGAAGGGGATCAAGCTGGGTATCCTTTTTCAGCTGCCACGTCTTGAACGAATCTCCTGGACCTTCCACCCGTGCTTTTCCCTCAAGGTGAAGGAAAGGATCGCCCTTGCACTCGAGTTTCTAAGTGGATCACCCCATTTTGTGAAGTCCATGAACAAGGAGGCACAATCATAGGTGTCCTTTTTGGATGGTTAGAGGTGGAAAACTGATGGCACTGGTTCACCTGGTGTTTCAATCATCTACCAGGGACATCTATGTTTGACCTAGCCACAAAGGACACCGATGCTTGCGCCTGTTGACCCCTCTGCAAAAAGTGTTGAACTTTTTGTGGGTCCGTAATGGCAACATCTGACCTGTTTCAACCAAAAAGTCAATTTCCAAAGATCCATCACCACATAATCAGATATAATCAGATAGCCAAACATATTTTGGCACATCCCAAGTCCATGTCTATCACATTCCCAATCATGGAGGTGGTTCCATTGAAACTCAATCGCTAGCGAGTTGGTGGGCACAATGAGTTGATCACCCAAGGTTTCTCTCGTCCGAGTGCGTTGGGTACGTCCCCGCCTCCGTCTCCTTGACGGCCCCATACCCGGCGTTCGGCTCGGGCAACTGAGCGTGGAAAAACGGGGGCCGGGAGGAAGCCGGAAGGTCCGGTGGGGGGGGTCAATCTAAGAAAATGGGTTGATATTCACCGATTGACACTTATCCAGTGCAGGTCTTCTCGGGGTTCAATCTCCTTGAACAATCCCTAGGTTGATGCTTTTCCAGCGCCCCAAAAGCTCAAAGAGCACCCTCGTTCGAACTGGAAAAAGGGAAGGTGTTTAATGGCTCGAAAGCCAAACCCTTCCTGAGGTCTTCAACATTTCGCGCCTAGTTGCCAAAGACCCTCAAACTAGCCATAAGAAAGGGACTTAACCCCATGAAACTTGGGGGCAATAGCTCATTTGTTAATTAGTCTGAGGGTCCAGGCACCGGTCTGGTTCTGGGACTTGCGGACATTTTGCGGAAGGCGACTTTTGAACTGGGCTCCAAGTCGCTTGCTCAGGCCGATGCCCTAACCATGTGCGTTCTCGAGCCAAAGCTGGCAAAGCTGATTTGGCTTGAAGCTTCAAGCTGGCAAAGCTTGGCTTTGCGAGACACATGCACCCCAGCAAACAGAAGTTCAACAGGTTGAAGGCTTGGTTGTAAACAGGATAATCGGGTATTCAACCCAATTGGAAAGGCTGTGACAGTAAGCGGACCAAGGCTCCTCTGATATGTCCCCTGTGCAAGTGAGAAGCAACAGTTACACAATTGCACGCCTTGCGCATTGAGGGACTTTCATGTCCCGGCGCGCCTTGGTCGTCTCATCCGCCTGCGAGACGAGAAAGTCAGGGTTCTGAGTGATATGAGGGACTGCATAGCTACTAAGATTTTATCGGAAGCCGCCACATTCCAATTTTAGAATTTCAATTGATATCATGTTTTGGACCGCCACGGGTTTCCCATGATAATTGCGACCCGCTGAACACAACATGAATCACGTGCCAAGATCACCTAGAGTCAAGGCGCGCAATGCTCAACTGAACCCTCGGAATCGTTTGATCGAGCTTGGCCGAAGGCTTGCCCAGAAGTGGCTCAGCCTCAACACATAGGGGACATGCAACCCCCCAGTATGGAAACACGAGAGCCAAATCTGGGGTCCTGTTTCGAAACTTTGAGCCAGGCCCAAGTCATGCTAGATGATTATAGTCCATTTCCTAGAGCCTGGTGTCAGTTCGGCCAGCTTTATGAACTTAGCTGATCTCCCTCTCTTGGAGCCCACACAACTTGCAGATGGACCATGTTTACTGAAGAAACACACACACACAAAACACGCATTACGCAACACACGCAGTACATGCCACTGGGATACGTGCCCGACCTTATATACCCCGAATTCATCTGGGGGTTGATGAAACAGTTCGATGACCATGGGATGACCATTGGTTGGCAAATCACTAGGATGATGTTTCCCATGTGGGGAAAGCTACCCACGAACGGAATTCCCGATATATATAGATATATATATATATACACACAGTTACACAATTCTCCGAGCAGGATATTCCACCATTCGAGTGTCTGCAGATCGCCTTTGGGCAATTCGCATTCGCTTTGCGTCAGATCGGATCGATGCTCACAGAGTTTATATACTGGACTTAGACCCACTTCTGGGATTTTGGTGAAAATGAAGGAACACCAAAGAAGCGACAAGTTGAAAGGACAGGCTGCCCAGGAAGTGTTACATCCGTCTAACCTCGTCTCTGGATTTCTGAAGGCCAGTTCTTGGGGGCAGCCCGAAAAGGGCTGCGGACCACCATCTCTTGCGCCTGCGCCGGCGCCGGCACCTTTTCATCCTCCTTCTTCGTCTTCTTCTTCAGGTCTTTGGCTTTGCCTCGGACAGCTTCGGTTGCGACAGCAGGTAGCAAGGCCAAGGGAAAAGAAAAGGAGCCGAAACATATCACCAGGATAGCCACAAGACCCAGCCGTGACCTGCCTGTTTACCAGCAAAATGGAACAAGCGGAGGACCAAATATTGCCAGGCAACCACACCCAATAAACCTCTTTTCTTTAAGCAGGATGCAAGGTTGAAACATAGGCCTTTAGAACATAAGAGGAAACGGGCCACAAGCACCGCGGAGGATTTTTTGAAAGTTGCCTGTGGCTACGCGGAGGTGACATACGCAAGTCAAGGGCCTGAGGATGCGAGGACACGAAGACTACGGGGCCACAGGGGTGCTTCGAAGATCCTGAAGGGAACCAAAGGAAACACTTCACTTCCTCACTTGCCCGAAAGTGCCTGAAATCAACAGGCGACCAACATATGGTTGCCAAATCAGGGAAAGCAAAAGGGGAAACAACCCAACTTTCTACGGACTGTTGGTCCATGCAAAGTGACGTCCTCAAAAACAAGATGCTCCCCCAAAGTGATGTCAGCTCCAAATGCTTCCAACTTTGACAGGGTCCCAAGAATACATCCAAGCATCAGCTATTGTCCCCTAGTATCCTTTTACTTGGCGCACCAAAGGAGGTGCACAGCAAATCCTATTCCGAAGATTCTCTGTCATATTCCGACCCAGTTGTCTTTGCAGTGGAGAACACCAGATATGGGCATGGGTCAAAAGCCCGTACCCCAGTGAACATCCCAATCCCCACTAAAATAGGTTCTAAAATAAATGGGGAATTCACCTACCAACCAAAATGGGATCCCAAAACGGTTTTGACAACCACAGCCATATTGTGGGTATGGGTAAAAATAAAACCACCAGGGGACTGCAGCTTTTAGTCCTTCTTTCCATGTACCAGGGCAGCCCATTTGGGGTACCTATTTTTGACAACCACAGCCATATCTCCAACTTCTCTTTCACTTTGTTGCTGTTGACCCCTCTGCAAAAAGTTTAACTTTTTATGGGTTTAATTAGTGGAACCTCCCTTCATTTCCCAAAAAAATAAAGTCTAAAGATCCATTCCAATAGCAGACAAGTTCATACCCCCCCCAGCCACCGAAGCGCTCAATTCTTTCGCCCATCCGCGGATCGGAAACCCGGAAATCTCTGGGCGCTCCGAGCTTGCGAAGGTGCCCATGGCCAGAAGGAACACCCCCACGAATTGCCAGATCGTGACCTGTTGACGGATTCCGCGGCTCGCTCGTTTTTTTTCATGAATCGGACCCCCCAAAAGAAACAAAGAAGAAGAGAAAAACGCTTCGGTGGTCCTCTCTTCCCTTTGCCAAGCAAAAAGGGGTGCCCTCCAAAAATGATGGACCCATATGGACCCATAGGTGGTCAAAGGTCCAAACGATGGGAGACTCGGACATGAACTTCGGTTTCCCGTGACTTTTGGCTGAAAACGGCCCCCCCCCCAAAAAAAAAAACAGACCCAATATATGTCCCCTTTAAACATAGGAAACTCCCTTGGCCCAAAAGGCCATGCTCCAAACCCAGCGGGATAGACGGTTTATGCGAAGTGGGGTTTCATCCATTCTCAACTGGTGCAGGAGTTGGTCCATCCACAGTTCTGGATGACGCCCGAGCCTCTGTGATAGCAAACAATTTGCCAAGACTGCTTTAAGTGGCGCTAACGCCCTATGTTCCATGACTATGCGGCCCCATGCTAGAAATGAAAGGATGAGCAAATGGAGTCGTCTCCAAAAAGGGGAAACCATCAAACATGGATGGTCTGCTTGTGGATTCCCTTCACAACACCCAAGCAGTACTCAAACACGCCAAGAAAGATCTGGGTGGAGCGATGGTCTGATGCGGATTCGTCAAAGGCAAATGCCTGGACGGCTGTGGCCTCCTCATCAGAGTTTTTCTCTACCATCGAGGCATATCGCGCGAGGTATGATGTGTGTCACATTGAGGCAGAAGGTGTGCAAGCTGGCTCACTTTCCTTCTCAACCACACCTCATTCCGAGGACTGACCCCGTCCAGCCAATGAATACGCACTTCATTTTGTGGCCAGCTCATGGACCACTTCTCGGCCTTAGACACAACATCGTGAGAACTCATTGCAAGGGACGTGGAGTCAAAAGGATGTTACAGCATTTCGGGATACAAAGAGGGCAACATAGGGAGCACAACCACAAGGGTTACCAACTCAAGTGCCGCCCTCCACTGCAGGTGCAAACCCCAGAACAGCCCCCCCATTCAACATCTTGAAATTTCTAGAAAACGTGCCTCGCCCCCCGGTATTCCTGAGAACTTCAGTGAGTTTCCCATGTCACCCTGTCCCTCCCGGACATAGTATTTGCATACCGTTGCTCGAAGAAAGGCCTCGATGGGCCAACAACAGTTTGTCTGGTTGAGTCAGCTCCAAGCGGAATCCTCGACAACTTAATTGTCTGGGGCACGGGGGTGACATTTTGCCAATAAGCTAACTTGCAATGCCCAGCGTCAGCCGAAGTTACCATTCACGTGGGGCATATCGAACTCACAATCAAATGATCACCACTCCCAGGGGTGACTCCAAGGGAAACTGGCTGACACTTGAGAAAGGCGAGACTTCACCATGAGCTCCTCATAAAATTAGTGAAACAGAAAAAACACACATGCATCTGAATGCAGCCCACTGACCTATGTTCATGGTCCCCTTAGAAGGTATCATTATCGCGGATATTCAGGAACCTTCATTTGCCTGTGGATAAAGCCCACAGTTGCCAGAAGTCAGCGCAATCCAAACGTAACCATCCCCCCAACCCCCTCCCCACCGACACTCAAGTCCTGGCCAACTCCCTGCGTCTCAACATGTTGGCGTCTTTGAATTTTTGCTTCTCCGAATTGCCCTCAAGAAGCTAAGGCCCCAGGCGCGGCCCAATCCCAACCAGAAGTCTCCAAGGGAAATGGGCCCAAGGCGCGTTCGGCCAAGTAAGTGGGTGGCCTCTTGGGGTATACAGTACCCCCCAAAAAATTACAGGGTGAACCCCACTGAGAACTTGCAAGTGGGTTATAGCCCAACGGTTGCCAACAACTGGCATGGAACCCGACCAGCGGTCCCTGGACCGTTTGAGGTTTGTCTTAAAATTCGTTGCTTTCCAGTTATCCCTTTCAAGCAAACACTCTCAATTTCCCCTTGAAAGGACCTGTCATGTGCCATCCGTTCTTGGCGCCCGGCCTGCTCATGCAGCCATGCCTTGCAGAATGTTGTGCAGGAAATTCAAGCGACCCTTGTGTTGACCGTGTTTTGTAGGGAAACCAAAAAGCCACAAGGTGGACCGGGATTGGTCCAAGCAGAAACGAAATGCTACACCGTCACGACCTTTAGCCTGTATTTCTTTGCAGGGTTTCAAAGTCACTTTGGGGCCTTTTGGTCAACTATTGTTGGACAAATCCGCGCCAGCCACCTGTTGGTCGTTAGTCCCAATATTTGTAGGGTTGCAGGATTCTGTCCATCCACAGTACCTTTGAACAAAGAGAACACACCAATGTTGAACGTTTGAATGCTTGGTCTTCGACAGCTGAAATAGATTGCCATGTCTAACAAAGGCGTGATTCTGTCTCCCCTTGGAAAGTGCCATCGGCAAAAGCTCTGTCTGGGGCTTTTTCCTGTTAATCTTCAGAGAATAATGCGTACCCTTGAGATGGGTGTTCATGTCATAAACTCGCTCAAGGTGGGGGTCCAACGTTTTGGCTGGTTCTTCTTCTGACATCTTTCCAAACAACTGCTCAACCATGATAATGCCAGCCTCAGGGAAATCAAGGGGGTGTATGGGGGGTCCATGGTCTAAAGTCATTGGCCTATGGCTTATCCTGCCACAGGCCCTCACACACCCCTCCCCCAAACAAGAAGAAGTGAACATGAGTGGAGTCAGTGGGGTGAGTGCAGTGAGCGGAGTACTTGGAGTGGTTGGAGCGGTTGGAGCGGGTGGAGTGGGTGGAGTGGGTGGAGCGAGTGGAGTGAGTGGAGCAAGTGCGGTCAGTGCAGTCAGTGGAGTGAGTGGAGTGTGAGCAGAGTGACTTGCTGCATGGAGCATTTACTTGCCTGACGATGGCAGCCCGTTTTCCGGCGGCCTTGGTGGGGACTATTAGGGTTGTTGTATCGCAAGCATGTCCTACTTGCACTTCAAGTTGTGCTTGAGCAAGAGGCGTGTAACCTGTGCCCAAATCTTTTTTGTGTGATTGCACTTCTGCCATCCACGAATCCGCATGCTTGAAGTTGGCATCGGTCGTGCCCACTTATTAGGTCTTGAACTGCATCGATTGCGCCAGCAACGCACCTTGCATCATGTTGAGTTGGTTTTCCCGTGGGGTCCTTCTCATGGATGGGGTGTCCTTTCATGGAAACCTGCCCGAGATGTGCCAGAGATTTCTTTGCTTGCTTGGAATAATACGCGTGGGAGGCCAGAACCTTGGAGGCTGCCCGCGCGCAACGCGCGTCGCATGGTGCCGAGTGGTATGCCCGTTGCTTCGAGTTAGTAGCATGGACATGAAACCTTGGTATCCCGCTGCGTGACACACATTTTCAGTCAGTGAGTGCCTGGGTGCGTGGGTGGGTGAGCGAGCTAGCGAGCTAGCGAGCGAGAGAAGGGAAGCAGAAGGAGAAGGAGAAGGAGCAGGAGGAGGAGGAGAGAGAACGGCGCAAACGAGGACATTAAAAATAAGAACCACACACGCACACGCACACACACAGAATGTGGGGAAGAAAACAAGAGAACATCAGCCTCTCTCTAATTGATTGCTTGCTTTGGCGTAGTGGCTTGGAGGTTCGGCGTGGTTTTGCCTGCACCCTCTGCAGCAACCAAAGGCTCAAATCCCACACCGCCCATCCAAAACCACGAGCGAAGGCCGAAGTCTAAGCGGATTCCCGAAGGCCGAAGTCGGCATCAATCCAAGCGTTAGCCGGGGCCCTTGCTCTCCAAAGTGGTGCTTCTCACCTCCAGCATCATGTCCCACGAAGGCGTAAAGCAAGCGGCAAAGCAAGCCCCCACGGCAAAGCGCCGTTTTGAGCAAAGGAAACTGACTTGCAGTGATCTTTTCTGCAGGATCTTTTGCATCAAGGTCAACTAGATTGAGAACCCCGCAAAACAATGCCGGGCTGGAAACTCAACCTGACCCACTTCCCTGTTTCGGGGGCGGCTCCACACCCCCCCACACCCCCCCACCCAAAAAAGGAGCGCGAAGAACAAACAGTGACAACTTCACCTTTTGTCGCGCCTGCGAGGGTGGGAAAGCGAACAAGAGCGCACCACAGGAGACAAATCAAGGATGGTTGATCTACATTCCGTTCTTTTACCCTAGTTTTTGACCATGGGTAACCTTTCCCATGTGGGAAGTATCATCTTCGTGGGTTTTCAACCAATGGTCATTGCATGTCCATCGGACCCTTTGATCAACCCGAGGCCAGTTTCCAAAAACTTCCGCTGGCCTGGGAGAGCACAATCACCAGGATCAGGTTCAAATTGCCTCGGCGTGTTTTTTCTTTCTCCGCTTCTCCGGCGACTCAGCCCTTTTCACCGGGAACTTTGCATGTCAAACATGGACACGCCATCCCTCATGAGTTTTGGTATGACGAATGCTTGTAAATCACAACAACAAAGCTCAGCCTTAGGGGGTTGTCGATTGGCTTTCTTCCCGAGTGGATTGGAACCAGAAGACTCACAACACTTCTTGTTCCGCAGCCAACATGGTCTGCCAGAAACCATATTTGGAGTCCAGAAGCTGGAGAGACACAGACTGGCATCTTGGTCATTCCTTTCCCTCCATCATGATCTTTTCCGCTCCCACGCTTCAGGCCCTTGGAAAAAGGCAAAACAAACATATGCGCAGTAGTGATAGGTTCCCTTTCAAAACCAACAGGGGAATCTAACAAACAAGTCTTAAGCAAATTAATGGACGCATGGAACAAGCACGCTGGCTGTAAGCCTACGGTCCGAGCAACTCGACATCAAAACCAACTTGGGCCGCCGAGCCGACGATGGACTGCAGAAGGGCACCCAGCTGCTTCACCTGACTGGTTGCCGGTGGTTGAATGGGTCTGAAGAAAGCAACACAGGTTTCCCTGTTGCCTTTTTTGGCTGTATAATTGCTCATCCTTTTTTGGCTTGTCTTCTTCAAGGTTGTATAATTGCTCATCCTTGTTTGGCTTTCTTTTGGGAAGTTGGAGAACAGTGTGGGCAGTTTATCACCAAGAGTTCCACTTGTTTGACCCCCAGCAAAAAGCAGCATCATACAGTCCGCTAGTTCCGACGGGCTCCAATGCAACATTGTTTGGTCGAGACTTGGCAAGCTCTCAAACGTTCAAATGTTCAGGTGCTGTTGTTGTGTAGTGGTGGGTGGGTCTAAGAAAAAACCCGAGGCAGTTTGGCGTGAGTTTGACGTAGGTTTCTAGGGGTTGCAAAGTCATTGGCAGTGTGGAAGCTGGCACCTGGCAAAGAGAAACCAACTGGAAACCGTCCCATTTTCCACCCGGTTGCCTTTGGGCACCAAACCAAAGGAGCAACTCCTCTTTTGAATAGACCTAAACGGGGCACTTCTTCCTTCAGGAGGAAACACGGAACGCTCCCGGCGAACTGAGGGCCCCAGTAAAGGGCTGATTTGGGGGAAAGGCCCGGGGAAGTGCTGGATTTTCCGCTGCTCTCCTGCTTTGTGGGCAACGGCATCGAAAGGTATCGTACACTTTGGGGCCAGTCGATTTCCACCAGGTCCAGCAAACAAACAAACACCCGCGCGCACACACACACACACCCACCCACGCACGCACGCGCACGCGCACGCACACGCGCACGCTCACGCGCACGCGCACGCGCGCGCGCACACGCACGCACACGCACGCACACGCACACGCACCCCCGCACCCCCGCACCCCCCGCACCCCCGCACCCCCGCACCCCCGCACCCCCGCACACACACACACACACACACACACACACACACACACACACACACACACACACACACACACACACACACACACACACACACACACACACACACACACACCGACTTCGAGTGCCCAAGTTCTTCATGTGGTGGCTTCGGTGTCGTGCCAAGGGACAGCAAAGCACTGCGACACGTTCAGGGCCTTGGCTCGAAGTTGACACCAATGCCACCCAAGGGATACACCGTGAACGTAGATGGTACTATTCCCTTTGTGGCACGTGACAGCATAGCGGAACCCAACAAAATGTTCCCTTTGAGCCAAGGAGAGAAGGGTGAACACAAAAAAACACTTATCATATCTTAGTAAGTACAAAGCAAGATGAAACTTAAATGCGGAGGTTGTGCCATCTTTCACCCAAGGACTACGCCTTGAGTGACCTCCATTCGCAACACACAACACAGAAGGATCCACGGATCAAATCAAGCAACCACCACTGGTCTTTGATGATGTTGCGTCTCTTTTCCTTGATCGGCTGAATGCATGCTTGGAATTCCTATCGACTTTTCCATAATGGTCTGTCTCAAAATTACTCGGATCCTTTTTTGGGGCGGGGTTTTGATTTTTTCAAGCAAGGTCAAACAAACAGCAACCATTTTGAGGGCTCTGTATCGAGACACCGAATCTTGAGGACCATCAATCCAAAGGGACCGGACCATTTGCGCAAACTGATTGCCTGACTAAAGAGCCTATATACAAATGAAGATGCAACGGCCATAATCGTGTTTATATTTTCATTCGCATTCATTTACAAAAGGCTCGCAAAACTGGACCCGCCGCAGCTTATTCGCTTCCGCGTGTCAACGACGAATCAGCCATCGGGGCAAAGAGGCTGTCACAAGCGGCTCCATCTTGCTCGACTCCAACGGGACTTGGACATTGACAGCCGTCGCTGAGATCCTATCCCATATCCTATCCCCTACGCGCCAATCAAGATCACAAAGGTTTCCTCAAGAGGACAAGGGGAAATGAGTCAGTGTTTTGGTTGTGCGAGAAACTCAATGAGTTCCTGCATGTCCCTCCCAAAAAATGGGCCATCGCTTGCCCAAGGACATAGACATGAAAGGTCCACCTTCTAAGACCCTTGATCAAGCATGGCCGGCGAAGGTGCCAAACCAGATCTTCCAGATCTTTGTCGGTGGGCTTTGAGAGATGGGGCCGGAATAGCCAAAAGAATGCCAACACATGAAAGAACAACTGCCATTCACGGTGAGATTTGGCATCCGGGCTGCTTTCTGGATAGTGTCAACCGCAGATTCAACCCACTAGAATTTCTTCGATGTTTCACTTGAAAGTGAATTGGACACCCTCGAAAACAACCAATCAGACCTAAATCGGCTCGGACAAACTCGCCCCCAAAAATCCATCCGCCTCTGCTCCCCAAATCCAAATCCAACCGTTTCTCTGCCGAAGGGGTCGGATGTCACTTCCAACTTGACAACTACCTCTTCCAGTGGCTGGATGGGCCTTTAAAAAAACACCCTTCCAACCTGACAACTACCTCTCCCAGTGGCTGGATGGGCTTATTAAAAAAAAGAAAAGAAAAGCAAGAAAAAACAACACCCCCACCAACTGGATGGGCCTAAAACAAGAGAAAAAAACACGCCCATCGCACCAAATCGGTGGCCAAAGGTCCACTGCCGCGAAGATGGACAGCACCAGGGAGGTCTTGGCCTCCTGGGAGGTGCTGCCAAAGTGCTTGAAGGCCTCCGAGAGAGGATGCGGCAGAAGCAATGGCTCTGACTTGTATGGGCACCAGACCCTTTGGTGGACAGAAAAAGGGGGCGATTTATGTCCCACCAACCATTTTTGGAGGCAATTTCCGATTGAAAGTCAAAAACAAAGATGGCACGACAAACTTGTCAGAGCTTGGAGGTTGAGTGTGGTTGCTCAAGTTTAACCAGCTTGTGCGCACGCATTTGTGCGTAGCCGGCTCTGCACATTCAGGTTTCAAACTCCCAAACGGCTTGCCGATGTCTAGCATGTTCCAGTCGAGCGACCCTGGTAGAAAGGGCACCTTGTTGTTCATCATTTGAAGTGGAGAAGCCCACTTTCTTCTAGGGGTACCTTCCAATTCCATTCTGAACCCAGGGATCCGAATCTTTCTAGAAAACCTCCGGAAACCCACGGAAAACGGATCCGGTTGTTGGAAACCAGGTGCCACTAAAGAACTGAGTCTAGGGGCGAGGATAGGACCAGCCAGGGCCAGCTTCCAGCTTTTGGAGGTTGCAGAAAG